GGGGTGGGGGTGGGGGGACGCGGCATAACAACGCCAGGGGAGGAGTGTCGAAGGAAGGCAGGGATGGCGGTGTGAGGTGCTTTTGCAGTATCTACAGTAGCTGGAAGATAACTGAAGAAACCCTATTAGAATTAGAGGTCGTAAGGCTCTTGGCTCAGATGATTTGGGTAGAATGGTAGGACAGAAGCCCAAATGCAGTGAGTTGAATGGCTGGGAAATGGAGACCTTGAGAAAAGGCGGTTCTTCCCAGCTGATGGACTGTGAAAAGAAGACAGAGAAGGGAATATGGGATTAAGGAAGGGTTTTTCTTTTAGGTTGGGAGAAACTTCAGCCTGTGTAAATGCTGAAGGGAAGGTTTATTAGGGAAGAGCTGATGATTCAAAGGGGAAGGAGGAGGCAGTCTAGGGCTCACTATCTTCTTGTCCTACCAACATAGCTTCACATGGCCCAGGATTACTCCTTGGGCTCCAGCCATTTTGTCCAAGTTCAGCCAACAGGAAAGAGGAGGGTAGGAAGATGCCCCCCCCCCTTTTTAAATTAAGCAAACTTTTATTTGCAAGCACTCTCCCTTCCCTTTTAAGGAGACCTCCACAGGTTCCACGTGACCCTTCTACCTACATCTCATTGCCTGTAACCTAGCCCATGGCCACATCCAGCAGCAGGAGTCGTCTGGAAGTGTAGGCTTTGGACTGAGCTACAGTGTCCAACCATAAACAGGTTTTGTTGCTAAAGAAGGATTGGAAAATGCGCACCAGGAGGCTGTGAGCAGTCTCTGCCAGGAAGCAGGATGGGAGGGGCCAGGTGGTTTGTCTGTTGAGGGAGAGTCTGGAAAGAATCAGGGCTGGGAATCCAACCCACGTCCATGCTAATCCCAACTCCATATTCTGTCTCCTGTGTGACCTCGGAGAAGCCATCTCCCCTCCCTGAGCCTCAGTGTCCTCTGTAAAGTGGGAGTGACAAGTGACTTAGCAGAATGGCTGTAAGGATTAACTGAGATATTATGGAAAGACCTGAGCTGTGGTAG